GTGGTCTGTGGGCTGGAGGAGCTTAGGGATCTTCTCTGTGTTGAAATGAAACAGCTGGTGAAATTTCGCACAGCCTTACCTGTTAGCCCTTCCTGGCCAGACAAGCATAGAATCATAGAAGCATACAAAACTAGGGGTGGAAGAGACCTGAGGAAGTCATCCAATCCAACCATCTGTTCAAAGCAGGGCAATCCCCAACTATATCATCCAGGCCAAGGCTTGTCTAGCCAGGTCCAAAGATCTGCCATTACTAAGCATAGTTTGAGATATTAAGCAATATGTTATACAAAAACAGAAGGAATATAACCTAGCAGAAAGAAAATTGATTTTCCAAAGCTTGTTTAAAAGTACAAAGAGGCTAGGAAGGGAAGTTGCATTGTCCCTGAACAAGTTGTACCTCTGCTTGTCCCAGAACATAAAAATCCCTGGACTGGCATCTAATTAGGTTTTAGTGAACGGATGAATTCTCTGCTGCTTTTTTTACATTGATCCAATGATAAAATCCCAGAATAGCCATTCAGATGCACTTTTGGATAAATTGTTAGTATGTTTTATCCCATGCAACGTTTTAGGATTTATCCCAGGAAAATAGACATGGAGAACTGAGCAACTGCACTTTGACTTGGGACACAATGCTTTGTCCCAAGACAAACTTGACATCTGTTTGCAGCCTGAGTCATATAAATAAAATTGTTCTGGGGTTATAGGAGGATAAGGTGGCTTATTGAGGGTAAACAACTGAGCTAATGAGGGAATGAGTGGCTTACTGAGAGTGCTTGCTGAGTACTGGTTTAGGCAATCAAAGAAAGTGAATAGTTACACAAGTGCCTGTTTCAGGATGAAATAGGATGGTGTCAAAAGACCAGACCCAAAAGGACATATATATTATGAGCATGTTCTGTTCCTCTTCTCTAGGCTCCTAACTTGCAATTCCTTCAGCAACTCATCCAATTTTTTTTAGTGACAAAGCTGCTGAGTCCTTCTAGCAACACTTTTTCTGTCATACTTTAAGTAATGGATATATTAAACTGCTCTATGTGCAGTTCTTTTAAGCATTCACTTTGCAAAACATATTTGATGAGTAACGGTGTGTGTAGATGAAATGAGGGCCCTAAATTGAAGCAGTGGGTTTTAAAAAACACTGCTTCAATTTAAGACCAATCAAACCCCCATGTCGTGCACACACCCTGCTAACTTACCTGCTTCTCTGGCAGGGAGGGGAGAGTGAGCTGCTGGCGGGCAGAGTGGTCCATGCGCTGCAGAGGGGGGCTAGTGCTTCCCTCTGTGGCAGCAGTGCCCTCCCCAGAAGTGGCAGCCACCTGTAGGCACATGGCTCGGGCAGTCCCAGGGGGCACCACAGCCATGGAGGGAAGCACTGGGCCCCTGCGCAGCTCAGGCAGGCAGGCAGTCTCTGGAGGGGGAAGGAGGAAGATCAGACTCGCCACTTTTCTTGGGCAGAGCTTGTTTTCCTGGGCTGCTGCCAGGCTGCCTGCAGGGCTTCCTTCAGAGCCACAGAGCTGCATAGAGCCCAGTGTTTTGTTTTGCAGCTGTAGGGGCAGCAAACTAAAACTCCTCCTCAGAGAAATTTTAGTTTGCTGCACCCCACATCATTTAAGGTCCATTACGCCGCTGAATTTCCTACAGTGGCTGGAATTAATGTGCAATACACCACCGAGGCATGCAGACACCAATGCTATTAAAGTGATGCAAAAACATTTAACCCATTTTAAAGTGTCATGCAGACATGCCCCTCATTTCATCTACACACGGCCTAAATAATGAAGTAGGAGTCATCCATCTCCTGCCTCTTTATCTGGGATCAGTTTCACTGAACCCCCGATCCATATACTCTCTAACTTCAGTCACAGATGTGTTAGAGATGTTTCAGAAATAGTATAATTCACTGAAAAAACCGGACTATTTAGTTTGTGGTTATCTTATAAACATTGGTGAGTTACCACATAAGTAATATTTCTTCTTGTACTGTAGTCTTTTTTTCTCTCCTAGCCTCTTAGGCTTATTTATCAAAATATGACTCTAGTTTAATAAGTCATTTTCTCTTTATTAAACTTGAATACCTAGAAGTAAAATATGAGAGAGACCACTTGATGTTTGTTTCTTAGGTACTGATTTACAGTGAGTGAGTGAACCCTGAATGAATGATTATCCTATGATGATGAATGTTGTAATCTATGAAAGTGTTCATGATGTTCTTGGATAACAGACACAGCCTGTACTTGGCTGGATTTTGTTGATTATCCTGGGGAAAAGGAGGTGAAAACTCTTGAATCTTTCCCCACCTCAAGACTACGTCTATTCTTGCTAAGCAATTTGTAATACAGTAAAAACTTTAAGCTCTTCATTTCATAAAAATCAAAGTTTTCTTTTCTTTAGAACTATTTCTGAGCAGTGACAGCCAATGTTAGAACAAAGATGAGTTTAACATGCTATCAAAAGTAAGCTCTTACCAAATTCCTTAGGTACCGTTATTGAATAGTGACATGTCTGCCCAGCAGTATAATTATGAGGATAATTTGGTGATAAGACCACCCCATCTGATCCGGTGTATTGTCCTCCACATGGAGCTGAAAAGAGAACAGAGACAAATGTATCATCCTTAGTCACACCTTCTACTATGTATGCTATCTTAGAAGCTAAAAAACACAATATTTCAAAGTGAAATGTTTGCTGTTTTAGAGTTTTTACTACTGTTGCTGTTATTGGTATTATTATTATTATTATAGCTACAGATATAGTGGTCATGGTTATTAAAATTAATATCATGGTTTTTAAAATTAAATTACATTAAAATGTAGGTAAAGATTATTTCTGATATCTTTTACTGGAACAACTATATAGCTGGAAGAAATGTTGCACAAACTTTTGGGAACCATGTGTCCCCTCCTCAGGTCTAAAACTGAACTTTTGAACAATAACATAGAAAATAAAAAGGTGTGAAAAGGAACTCAGAAGGTCAAACTGTCACCCGTCAACAGCTCTGTGTTCTTGGGAAACTCTAGCACAGTATGCAATCTGTCTGACTCCAAAAGGACACCCCCCCACACCTCAATCTCTGCATGAACATGAACTGATTAGAGGGAGGACTTACAAAAGACAATGAAGATGCAATGGGAAACACACCTGAAGCCCTCCAGACAAGGGTGATAGGAGGGAAGCAACTCCCCATGTCTCATTTACATCAGAGATGGAACCGGAAGGCAACTCATTTACATGGGAGATGGGATAGGAAATCACCTTCATTAGCATTAAGGATTGAGAACAGAGAGCCCAAGGCAAGGACTGCACTGAATTTTGGGACAAGAGAAGCAGGGGAGCACTGCATGATGGGGGATCCCTGCTCTAAATGCTAATCAACCCACATCTGCACACACCCCAGCTCAGCATTTATGAGACCAGTTCTAGTAATCTGTCCTTTATTGGTACACAAAACACTGAATATGCCGGCCTGTATTGTGAGCTCCCTCAGAGTAATGCCACCCATAGCCAGGAATGATCAGTTCCTATTATCCAGCATATGAGCCATTGTTTACCTACAAGCAAACCTAGTGTCCTCCCTTGAGCCACTGTTAGTTCTCTACAAAAAACCTTACCCAAGCTCATGTTTCTCTCCTGGTGCTTGGATGCAAAAGCTGCACCAGTTCCACTCCTTTTCTGCCTGGAATCTCTCCATTGATCATGCTGAGGGCTCTGCCTGTCTGCAAGCTCCAACAAACATTTGGGAACTTTGACTGGTTCAATCTTTGCTGAGTGGTGAGACCCCAACTCTTTCTCTCTCTCTGACTCCAGGAACCTGACTTTTGCTTTCTTACTCCAGGCCCAGCTGTCTAAACCAGGATTTTGCTGAACTCTCTCTCTCTCTCTCTCTCTCCCCCTGACCCCAGGCAAAACTTTCTAAACCTGACTTTTGTTCTCATGCTCCAGGCACAGCTTTCTAAATCTGACTTTTGCTGATCAAACTTGAGCTAGACATCCCCAAATACCTAATTGAAAATATGTAATACTGTAACTATTTTATTTGTCTCTCTTGTAGAGCTGTTACTACTGGTATCATCATAAGTTCATATACCTGGTAATCAATAACTTTTATGGTCAAGCTGATTGCTATACTATCTCTCTGAACCTCACTTACTCTTCCTTCCCCTTGACCTCCCCATTTGCTCTGTAGCAATGCTTCTTTTACTGAAGCCAAAGATCCCTGTAATGCTCAAAACTACAGTGAGGTCTGCTCATCAATGAAGTTACTACAAAGACCATTGTGACAAGGGATTGGGATGTGCTGAGCTACAAGGCACATGAGGGTATCAGCTGAAAGTGCTGATCAGTCTCAGCCTGCTCAGACATACCCTCTTAGTGTGTATGTATGTGTGTCTAAATGCATTTATTATTGTTCTGATGAAATAAGGGATGAACTGAGTTCAAGGCACATGAGGGTGTCAGCCTATCAATGCTGACTCAGCTCTGCTCTGTTAACCCATGTCCTTATGTCTGACTGCATTTTATTGTTGCCCTGATGAACTGAGTTCAAGGCATATAAGAGTGTTAGCCTTTTAATGCTGAATAACCCGGCCTGGCTTAGATGTGCCCTGTTAATCTGTGTGTGTATATGCTTATGTGTTTTACTGATTTGGTAGTTGGAGGAACCCAGCCCCATTGAACCTGAGTCCTGCAAGATAGCTCCATTGGGTGTGAGGGCTTGCAGAAGGGAGAGACACAGCTCCATACAGAAACACAAGTAATACAAGCAGCACATTGATGGAATTACAGAAGCCCCAGAAATGTACCCCTAATAAATGAGCACACCCTAATGTGATGGGCAAATCTGGTAACAAAATAGCCCAATGCCTTGCTACAGTTCAGTTCATCCCTGTCTAAGCAATCCCAGACGAACATTTGTCTAACTAGCACTTAAAAACTTTCAGAAATAGTGATTCCGTTACCTTACTGTGTATTTTGTCCTACTGTTTAACCATGCTAATAATTAGAAAGTTCTTCCTCCTACTTAATATCATCCAAGACAAGCCTGTTACATCTTGTTCTGTACCTTGATGACAGAGGCATGAACAGTAGGGCTGTGTGAAATTTCAGTTGCTGATTTGATTTGGCAGAGATTTGGCCCGATTCAGCATCCAAATCTCCAAATCCAAATCGAATCAGGAGACCCTTTAATCTCTCTGAATTGAATCGGAACCCTCCAAATTGATTCAGAGATATTTGATGATTTGGACATAGACACAGGTTTATGTTTTTTCTACATACTTCAAGGTACCAGGTGGCTCATGAACACTGAGATGGTGGGGCAGATGGAGTGTCCCACAGGAGCACAGTGGGGTCCACAACATGATCGGTGGTGGACCCAGAAGTGGACCGGAAGCACTTCCAGTCCACTTCTGGGTCTGCCATAGAGCACATGAGGGGACCCTGCCCTCACCCCTAGCTTGGTAACTTGTGCCTCCTGGGTCTGGGGGGGCACCCAGGGTCCTCCTATGGCTGATCACCAAGCTGGGGGAGTGCGGGGAGGCGGTCCCTTGTGCACTCAGCGGAGGACCTGGAAGTGGACTGGAAGTACTTCTGGCCCACTTCCAGGTCCACTGTGAAGCACACAGGGGAGGGGGGCGCACTCCTGTGGGACGCTCTATCCGAATCTGAATTGAATATGGCCCACTTCGCACACCCCTAATGAACAGGTATTCAGTTCTAGAGACAAGTAATTTTGTGAAATTCTTTGTCCATGAAAATAGCTTGGAAGTTGGAGTGTACAGACATTGTGGCTCAAGAGCTACACAGGAGAGCTGTCTACCCAGGAGCAACTAGAGTGCTGCTCCTTGGGTCACACTCTACCCTTGGGGGAGCTCACTGATTGAAACTCTGTTATGCCTCCTGCTGGGGGAGCAGTTGCTACAGACAGTCCCTCACTCTATAGGGCGGAGAAGGGTGAGGAGAATCTGTGAAAACAAAACAGAAGGGGCATTTTTTTCTGTGTAATCTAAATAACACAGAAAAGACTGCAGCAGAGATTTACCAATTCTTCTTATTATATGTAGTATGAATAAACAGCAAAGGGCAGTACTGCATAAAAATAAAAGTATTGGCTTGAGTACCTTAAGTTCCACATTATTGTGCTAAAAATTAGGGTAGAGATGTGTAAGTGGAATGCTGCAGTTAGGCTACTTTGTGTTGCATAGATATACCATATATCACTCTCTAGTTGGTTTTCATATTCCAAAATCTGCACTACTTTTAATCACAAGTAAAGAGAAACACACACATATTATTTTATATTATTTGAGAGGGGCAAGGGTTTGTTTGTGATATCTTCTAATGGACTAACTATACAATTAGTAGATGTGTTAGTAGCATAGGTGACGTACAGGGCAGGCATGGGGGGGCACGTGGCTCCCCTGAGATTGGCCAGTGCCAAAGTTGCTGCCAGCTTCTGCAGGCAGTCACTGCCCACACCCACCACTGCCCCTCCCCACTGATGTGGTTGTTGGTGGCTGCAGGTCATTCCCACTCACCACTCACCACTTTCCCCCCATGCTGCTCACCATTTGCCACCCCCCAACACACCAGCAACACTGCCAGCAGTGGCTGCTGGTGGTCCTTGCTTGCCACTCACCATCTCTGACACCGTAGGTAGTAGCTGTAGATGGTCCCCGCTCACCACCAGTGTACCCCCCCCCCCAGTCACAGAAGGCACCAGTGGTTCATGGTTAGTAGGGCGGATTTAATAGCAGCTTTCAGGTACCTGAAGGATGATTCCAGAGAGGATGGAGCTAGACTGTTTTAAGTGGTGACATATGACAATACAAGGAGCAATGGTTTCAAGTTGAAGCAAAGGAAGTCTAGGTTAGATAACAGGGACAATTTTTTCACTAGGAAGGTAGTAAAATACTGGAACAAGTTGTCTAGAGATGTTGTGGAATCTCTATCTTTGGAGGTTTTTAAGACCCAGCTAGACAAAGCCCTGGCTGGAATGATCTAGTTGGGGGTTGTCCTGCTTTGAGCAGGGGGTTGTACTAGATGACCTCCTGAGGTCCATTCCAACCCTAATTTTCTATAATTCTGTGTTAGACAAGATGTCAGGCAAAAATCCTTGCCTTCTTGTATTTTCTGGACCACTACAACAACAATACAACCATATTATTTAATATGTACCCAGGTAGAATTTAGTCTAGGAAAGTAACTGAAGGATCCATAAATGTATTTGGCAGAAATATTGTAAACCAAGTACAAATCCTGTTTTCAGTTACATGTGTGCAAAGGGATGCTGTAATGGACCGTTTAAAACTAATGCATGTATTTATTTTTTTATAAATACAAAGATAGATAGATATTCCTCTGTAAAAACACATATCATATTTTACTGCATATCACATACATGAATATAAGAAAGAATGAAGAAAAAAGAATAATTCCTTGTGGTAAGTCACTGAGTAGCAAAAGCTAGGGCACTGAGCCTGCTCCTTGTTCTTCTCTTGGTAGATCATTGCAGATTTTATTTTTGGTTTCATCCAGCAAGTGAGAGGACCTGCTTTTATACTATGTTTCATGTGATGCACATTCC